GATTACTATGTGTGCACTAGTACATAAAAATGGATGTATGTTATTATATGTTACTTGATATGACATGCAAGGTTACATGAACAAATAAGAAATGATAAAAGCCATATGAAATGATCTATGTGAATACATGCATTTGTGATACGTGTTATATGATATTAAATATATGTTTACACATACATGTGGTATGTGACAAAAGAGAAGGAACATGTGATTATAAGATCAATGATTACACGTACATGTGATACGTGACTGAAAAGAAAAGATATGTGTTTATAAGATGAAGGATATGAATAAGTAATGTGAACTGTTATAAGTGATAATGCCCATGTTATGTGATATAAGAGCTAAGGGTTAGTTGGCATGCCAAGGGTCGAGGGCTTACCTATGTTCTTCGGGACATATGGATTGTTTACCTATGTTCTTCGGGACATATGGACTGTTTACCTATGTTCTTCGGGACATATGGACTGTTTACCTAGATTCTTCGAATCTATGGACTGGTCCTTCGGGATATTTATACAAGCTGTGGTGACAACATAATTGTGAAAAAACTCAATGTACTCACATACCTTAAGTTCTCAAAAGTATACATGGGCTAATACATGATCTTTGAAGAGAGTAAATAAATAACTTGATATGATACTATGTGTGCTCTGTTGTGAAATGACAAGGATGCCCGATGGTGAGTATAAAAAGGTACAATATATGATTACATGATAAAAAGGAATTAGTGATAGTAATATGAGCAGTGATAAGTATGTTAATGGTATATGTATATGTATGCATTTTATTATATGTTTTATATGTCTCACTAAGTCAACGACTTAGCGTGTGATTGTTTCATGCGTAGGTTTTGAGAAGAAGAATAATGTAAAATTTATGCAAGACAGTCAGTTCATCCTTTCCAAAGATCAGATCAGAAAAGAAATGTATAGTATGTATGTTGTAATAAGGATAGTAGTTGGCATGTAAATAAAGAATTAAATCCGATATATTCTAATCGGTTTTGAAAAGTCATACGATTGAATTTTGTAATGTTTTAAACGTGTTTATGTAATTGATAAATTTTATACGGATGGAAGCTTAGATTTTTACGAGTTTATACATATTTTTACGAAAGTAATGTAGCAGTATTATAGCAATATTGTTCATTATGTTCACGGCACTGTTCATATCGTATTTTACTGTTCATAAAAATGTATAATTTTTTCAAATTGGTTTTAACGAACATAATTCAACAATATATGATAGTATTTTCTTAATATGAGTTCAAATGTTTTGATATTTTGAAAGAATATCATTTTCAAAAGTTAATGTGATATCTCAGACTCGTATCCGAGTCGGGTACGGGTTGGGGTGTTACATGTGAACTCTCTCTCTCTCTCTCTGATTTTCTGAAATTATGAAAGAATGAGGGGAATAAGATAAAAGCCCGTGTTTTGGGCTTATATTCCCGATCGAAACAGTGCCGTTTGGATAGGGGTTGGGTGGAAGTTTAGCGTATGGGTAAATTATTAAATGGGGTCTTAAGTTTTTGTAACCTTCTGTTATAATCATTTGTTGTAGTTTTATCATTTTATATTTTATTCATCACTTTTGTAACTTTTGTATCTTGCTCACTTGATTGTACATTGTTAATATTTTGTAAATTTACACATTGGCCTCAATGTTTATGAAACTTACATTCTGGTCATTATTATGTATTTTGGATCAAATCCTTAATTTGCCTGTATGTTTTACTTTCATTATATTTTAGTCCTTAATAGTATTTATGGGTTATTTTCGTTTCCAGCACATGTATTATTTAATTTATCTGATCTTGGCTCTGGTTTGTTTGTAATTACTGTTTAGCTCCTTCAAGTTCCTATTTTGGTCCTTGGAATTATCAAATGCTTTATTTTTGTCCATTATATTTTGGTTTGTAATATTTATTTGTTTTTATTTCAGTCTCTTATGCATGTACATATTTTACATATTATGTAGTCATTTGTATTATATTAATTAAATATTATTGTCTTTATTTATTGTAAAATTTTTATTTCACCTATGTCCATTCACATTTGTTTTTATTGTACGCTTTGTCTATAAATAATATTCAAATATTTTCAAGAACTGCATTTGTAGAACGGGCGTGGAAAGTATCACTTAATCGAAGTGTTGCAATCCGATACGACGTTCTAACAAAATGAGAGCTTGAAATGAATCAAAGTTATTTTTAATGCTAATTAATCGGTTTTAATTCAAATGATGCAATGCATGCTTCTAAATGACAATTTATGTTATTTTACGCAAATGTCAATTTTCAGTTTATATATTCGATACATATTTTTATCGGGGAGGGAATGTTTTTTACAGATAAGAAATAGACGAGATAGCTTTCCGATGGAGGATTACTAATCTCGAGATTTCTTTTCAAGTTAAAAAATTTTCCCTAATAAATAATTCGAAATAAATTAATCAATATTCAATGAATGGATCATATTTTAACTTTATATTTGATTCATGATTTCTACCATTACGACAAAGTGTAAGCGACACAATACTAATTTTGGGCGCTGTGGGAGTGCTTACCTTTCCCCGCGATTAATCGACTCTTGAATCCAAAAATGAATCTTTGGTATATGCAGACCAAATTTTGTCTTAAAAAACAAATTTTCTTAAAATTGTTTTAAAAGATTTTTTGGTATTCGACCTACCTAACTCAAAGGTCGATGGCGACTCCTATCCAATTTCATCCAATTAATTCCAAATTACCAATTTTTCAAAATAAAATCATATTTTTTAAAAATAATATTTAGTTATTTTAAAAAAAATTGTTATGACAACCTTTTTCACCAAAAAAAAAACTCTGACCTAAATTTAAATATAAACATAACATGTATCGTACTTTTTAATGACCGTTTTATTTGAGACACTTAAATGAACGTTCGTAACGTTAGGTACTATATTAATTGAAGAAAAAATTTAGACATATAAATGAAAAAAATGATATAATTTGTGTTTTTTTATAATGAGCATAAAAGCTATATAAAATATAAATTTTATATAAAAATATAAAATAGTCGTTCTACTTTTAGTATTCTTTTAGGCCACCTGCAAAGATAATACGAACTTACTATGGTTGAAATTTTGGTTGTTATAATAAGGATCGTAAGAAACTGAGTTGAGTTGTAAGATGGTTGAGAATAGAAAGGAAAAAACATGTAGTTAATAAAATAAGTAATAAATGATAATATTGAATATTTAAGTGTATTTAATTTTATATTATTTTAAAATTATACCAATAATGATATTAATTCAGTTAAATTTAATTAATTAAGTATAAATATTTTATTTAGAGAAAAAGTACAAATATGAGAAAAACATATTTCATATAACAATGCGCCGATAAACTTGTGAATCTCGCACTTCTACAAGGAGATGATTCAGCTATTCTAAAGTTGCCTCCACCTGAAATTCATTAGCGGATAAGAACAACCATGAGAACTAGTTTACTGCTTTGTTCAATCGTACCAAAAAAAAATCTCTAGAAAGAGTAATAACAAATATGAGTGCAGTTTAGGGTGGTAATTTAATCAGAAATCGACGGGTTCTGATTTGACCTAATTTAATTGGTTTAGATTTCCTTTAAAGAATTTTGGATTCGGATTAGCTCAAGTCAAATTTTTAAGGGGTGAGGTCGGGTCTGGTTAGGTTAGGTTCGGGTTGAAGGTAAAAAGAACTCCGACACAACCCGACCCAGGGATAATGATGCAATTTTCTTAAAATAATTTATTATTATTTTTTAATTAAGTTCTTATTTTATACAAGTTAGATTGGATCGGATCAGATTTATACTCTAAAATTTGGACTGGGTCGGAGTTATATGGAGGTTATATATTTTTGGGTCGGGTCAGATCAGATGGAGGATATATAATTTTCGGATTGGTTGGGTTCGGATAGAGAATACATATTTTCGGTTAGAGTCATATTGACCAAAAACTCGACCTTAACCCGATTCGTTGCCATCCCTAATTAAGCCATCGGAGTTGGGTGGAAGTTTGGCAACGAAAAAGAATAAGAGTATGTTGAAGGAGGCATGATCAGTTTGTAAGCTTCTACGCTATCAGTTTGGCATTGAACATGCTTAAAACCATAGGACCAAGTGAGGTTGAAACTTTCATATATTCCTCAGAGTTCAGCTTCGAGGATGGTAGAGATTTCAAGATGTTTATTAAAATCAAATAATCAGTCTCCCTCATAACTCTGAACAAGGCCTCCTATCAATCCTATAAAGAAAAGGCGATTAACAGCTTCATCGGTATTGAGAGTGACCCACCATAATGTCGATAGTTTCCATCGAATAAACTCAGTGGTTTTTGTTTGCACGTAAAATCAAGTTTAACCAGACTAGAGAAACTATTACACGGTTACACCCTAACAAAAAAGCAATAAAAAAGACTTCTTTAATTGTTATTTTATGTTTATTAAAGCCTCGATGACAAGTTATCTGGATGGCGTAGTTGGTTATTACGCAAGTCTTACACACTAGAATTTTCCCGGTTTGAATCTCGTCTCGTAGTTTGTTATTGTTGATTTTTATTTATTATTTTTTTTTTATTTTCTCTTTTTAAATTTATTTGAGTCTTATCTTTTTTTCTATATACAGAGATTTATTTACAGGGATTATTTTTTATTATAAACGCACATATGAATACTGCATATAAAGATTATTTATTTATATATTTATTTATACATGCATTGTATTTTATCTTTATTTTTAATTTTTTTGACTGACAAAAATCATCTACAGAAATTGCTTCTAACCATACGTTAAAAAATGTCTACTAACCTACCTCTCTTATCCCATTGCATAGAGTATGATTTTGTTGTTGTTGTATAATTCCTGGGGCACTTAAGCATGTTTAATTTTTAAACCCCATTTTGCCTTCTTCTGTTCATAGCAAAAAAACTCTCCAAAGAAAAGCTTCCAATTCCAATTCCCAAACAATCTGTAGCTTCCTCAGCTCCACTTCCTAGTAAAAATTTCCTTTCTCCCCTAATTTCTAGGGTTTCGTATAGAGAAGAAAAGAGGGTCGAACATAATCAAATAGAATGGATTGGGGAAACGTGACCGCTGAGGATCTGATTGATGCGCTTCGTGAAGTTGACTGGTCATCACCGCCACGTCCTCTCCCCGAATTCTTCTCTCGCTTCACCGTCCCTCGATCATACGCCAAATGGAATAGCCGCCTTAAATGCAATCTCTACTAGTACTTTTTTTAAATTTTAGTTTCTTCTTTTATTCCAATCAGTTTGAATCTTGATCGGTGCTGTTTGTTTGTCGAGAAGAGAAAATTTTATAAATTTGTTGCGATAAATAAATAAACAAAGTCAATTCATGACTCTTGATCTTGAATGTGCTTTCGGGAATACTAGATCAGATGCTTCATTTCGTTCAGTTTCTTACTTTGATTTTATGCTTTTCTTTCTCTTTGCAGCTACCGAACCAATTATTTCATTATGATTGTTGTTATTCTTGGTAAGCAGACAAAATCAACGGTGGCGCTCGAGTTTATTTTCAGTACATGTATTTTTATTTATAGATATATATTTTTTTACTTTTGCAGGTTTGGGATTCCTGAGGAGTCCGGTTGCTATTTTAGCTGCGATGTTAACAGCGCTTAGCATTGCCTTTCTTAATGATAGGTAGGCAATGTTAGACCTCTTTGTTTAGTGTTCTGGATTTTAAGTCAGTTATGTTATTTTGAATGTTACATTTGAAATGGATGAATGAGAACATGTATTGAAGGTTTTGGTATGGTTAGATTTAGTGTGTGACTCATGTCTATAACAATTCGTGTATTATTTTTACAGCTTTGCTGGTACTTTTAGTGAGAAGGTGACTAGAACTGTGAGGCAATTCTCCCCACATTTAGCAGCTAAGATGAGGCCCCCTCTTACGTAAGTTTTTATTACTTTTGTGCTTGCAGACTATATATCCTTGATTTGGTTACTAACTTTTTCGTTGTTGTCAGACCTGTTATCCGTGGTCGTCCATCAGCTAAAAGAACAATTCACATATGTGGTCGGCCACGTTGGGTCTTTGTCTTCATATTCTCATCTGGTATCAATATGTTTCAGAAATGCTTCTTTTAAGAAGAAATCAGAACCTTTCTGTTTGCAATCCAATGTAGTATATAAACCGACAAATTTTACAATTCTTGTTGCAGTGAGTTTCATCCTTTGGTATGTATCCTGTGGTCTCTTGACTCTGCTATGGGCACTTGCCATTGCCCTGCTTGGTTAGCAATCTTATTTCTCTCTCTTTCTCATTCCCCTTCCTTAAGATGTCATTTTTTTCTTCTAACTCTCTCTCTCTCTCTCTCACAGTCACTATCCTTCATGCAAGTTTTAGAACTCCTAACCTGAAGGCTCGTCTTAATACATTTCGCGAGGAATTTCGTGCCGTTTGGCGCAATTACAGTGAGCTGTAGATCATATATTCTATAGCATGTAAGCTTATCTACATCCAATGTTATATTTGTTTTACTTCTCTAGTTTTTACCAGTTAAATATTCAACGGAATTCACTATTGATTAAATTCACCTTCTTGTTTTTGGAATATTCTGTATATTCACATGCTATTCTTATGTATTTCATGATTGTGATTTTCTAGTTCACTATAATGTATGTGCAGTAGCATATTGGTATCTTTGATTTGTTTGTTTTCTCTAGTCCGCACTCCAGTACTCCACACTTGCACTATGTTTCAAAACCTTCTCCATATGGTGGTACTAGTTACTGTGTATCTATAACTGTCCTTTAGTGCTTTATTTCCATCTGATTATGATAAATCTACAGTTGAAATCACATATTTTACTCGGGTTAAATGGTAGCTGATAAAACAATTAGCTTCTCAAATGTGCACGGAATAGGGATATACTCAGCTAAGTTATTTTTAGCTTCTACTGATGCTTTTTAGTCACTTTGGATCAATGCCATTGGGGTTGGACAGGATGATACTTGGCCTAGTAGGTAAAATGAATATGTTTGCATTTGTTACACAATTGGACCACGTTCAATTTGCTTTAAAATTTGTAATCAAATTTTTCCATGGATCAAATTTGAAATTTACCACTGGTTTTGCATGTTCTAGTAAAAAATCTGGGTTTGTATCGAAAGGTTAATGGACTGACCAGACACTAATTTAACAACTCTCTTGAACATTTTCTTGTAGTAAATCATGGTAGTACTGCTTCAAAATTTTGTTGCCATGGTCCTGGTGCTATACGGGCCCTTGATTTTATCATATCTGAACTCTGCTACTTTCACTTGCAACGTATAACATCAACCTTCATCTTCATCACTGCACATCCCTTTTAGATTTGCCATGTAGTTGCCTCTTGTTATATGAGAAGGTCGTGTTTTGTTCATGATTCTCATTATTGTTTGGTTTTTTCAGGCAATGAAGGCTCTGATGATGGGATTCTAGTAGATCTTGTTATTATAAGGTTGCACGACTGTTGTCGATATAAAATGTGGTTTCTTCCGCTGGATTGACATGATAGTTGCAATTCTTTGCAATAGCACACAAGGTGTAAATTGTCAGTACCTCTTTTTTTCTGTAAATCAGACGATTTCCGTCTTTGTTTTTACCCCATATTGGGAAGACGTTTGAGAATATTTTTACTCAATGCCCCCTTTGAGAAGAAAATGAACAAAAAAGGTGCAGAATTCACATAAGCAATTAGTTATCTTAGCTGGTAATGTGTCTCTTACCTACCTGTTGTAGTTCCTTGAGTGTGAATTTGTTGCTAAGATAGTGTAAAATATCGCGCCTTCTGATTGCGAATGATTTTATATGGATGCATTAATTTTCATACCCTATTTTGCTGCCGTCCTATAGTATCATCAAGAATAATGAAGTATTTGTCAATTGAAACCGTTATGCAGTGGTAGAGGAGGATTTCTGTGGAACCGAATCCTGGTTGTTATTAGGTGCTGGGTTCATTTTATATGAATCTATGTTCAAGTTTGAGTCGAGTTCATTGACACTGTATGATTTATGTATATCACATAAAAAAATATTAAGAAACATATAGGTATATAGTTATAGAAAACTGTTTAAATTGGAATCAAATAGTATCATAATATTAGAAATATTTACAATTAAATTAAAATAGAAACTAGAACTATTCTACTTGAATTTTATAAACTCGAATTGACTCAAAAAAAATTCAAATCAAGTTTGAGTAACAATTTAGAACTCATCAACTCAAATAACTCAAAATTTTAGTTTGAATTGATCAAACGCTAACCCTAGTCTGGTATGATTACAATGTAGTAGGGATGTGAAATCAGGTAACCATTCAAGTTTCAGTCAAATTCTATCAGGTTAGGTCAAATCAAATACAAGTCGTGTCGGGTCAACGTGATGGATCAACTCGGATCATGTCAGTCCGGGTCAAATCAATTCAGGTCATTTTCAAGTTGATTTGTCATCAGATTCAGTTCGGGTTCAGATATGATTAATTTCAGTTCGAATCAATGTCAGTTCAGGTCAAAATAGTTTATGTTTGAATTAGTTAAATACCAAGTTAATTAAAGTTTGGATGGACTTCAGGTCGGATCTCGTTCAGATTAGGTCACATCATTGACAAACAAAATTCATGTCGAATCTCACCGAATACGAATTGATTTCGAGTTGTGTCATTTTTGGGTTAATTATTTTTCGCATTTCATGAACAACGAATTATAATTTGTAATTGTATATGATTTCGAGTAAAATATAAAAAATATAAATAATTATGGGTCAATTTTAACAATAATGTAATTTTAAGGACTAAATTAAATAAACATGAAATTACAAATTGAAATTGAAATTTAAATAACTTAAACAACACATATAGATGAGGTATATAAATTGAAACTACAATCCTCAATAGAATCTCTAAAAGCACTCATTTGCCTCTCATTACGAACAAGTCCCCTTCATTCTCATAAGAAAACATAATTTCATTAAAGTCTTTGATAACCTGGAACACCATAATCCATTTAGACCCAAAGCTTTTTTGATTACAATGTTACACGGGACTACCGAAATAGTGATCTAAAATTTTCTTTCAAAACTGTTTGTAAATCTTTGAAATTTAAACATTCATTATGTAATATAAAAACATAACAATAAATTGGGGGTTACAAATAATGGGGAGCTCCCAAAATACATCTACAATATAATACAAAATATTGAGTTTCAAAAAAGTTCTGACTGAATACATAACAAGGTCCATAACAGTACATGCCCTCTAAAGATGACTCTGACGTACTCTAAAAGGTCTCTGGAAATATGCTCTACTGTACTGGAATTTATGATGATGATAGCTCCCCACAATCTGCTCCTAAGAACCTACGCACGAAAACACATTTCGAACGCTGAGCTTACAAGCTCAGTGCCTTACTAAAAACTATAATATATTATATGCATTCACTAAATGAAATAGAAAGTGGAACATGTGTGAGTCTATAACTACTGGAATGCTAATATGTGGTTGGTATCATGGTGCAGCTGAGGGATTCTACATCTCAGAGCTCACGTACCCCTCTAGCATTGCCGAAGCACCATCAGGTGCTCATGGTTGAGATCTAAAATTATGCATCGGAACGTCCACCCACCGATTTACTCCATCGAGTCTTAGAGCATCTGTGCCCAGTCGGCTACTATAGTGCCATGGCATTGACTCGGATCCACTTACTGTCATATTTCTGCTAAAGGAACTCGGGTGTTATGATTATTTTTTTGAGCTTCAAACAAGGCTAGTTTTATGTAAACCTAGCTATTTCTATTCCTACTGTTATGATATTAATTATTGTTCTTGCTAGAAGTCTTATTGAGTATATACTGAAGTGTTGGTGGTACCTCGAGTCTAATTCCCTTAAAAACTGGCTTTTTTTGTCTAAAACATAATAAAAGCATCGATTCTAGCCCAAGAGTATTGATACTCCTGCAAAAGTTTCAATGCTTTAAAGTAGTATGTAATGCCCAGTTTCGATTCTTTCTGGGAGTGTCAAAACTATGACCCAAAGTATCGATACTCTTGAAAGAGTATTAATGTATTATGAGGAAACAAAGTAGCATAAATAGGGCTTTAAACATGTTCATAACGCTAAAACATGAATTCTACAATGGGAATACTTCAAGCTTATGCAATATACTACATTTCATCTAAATGAATTACATATGATATAGTTGATTCAAGAGTGAGTTACCTTAGATGCTAAACTGTTGAAAACACCCAATGCTCAACCAATAGTGAATTTTTCCTTATTTTTCTTTGGAGTTCTCTCCTACTTCCCTCACTATAATAGAATCAAATGCATTGATTACTAACTAATTTTGGGGTAAGGAGGGTTTAAAAACACTTCTTAAGGCTTGAAATATTTGAAAATGGGTTGGAACCATCTAGTTTCTTAAACCCTTTTAAAACTCGTTCTTGAAAACTATGGTGAAATGGGTGGTTTAAGAGTTTGAACCAAAGCTTGAGATGCAAGAGTTATGATTCGTACCAATATAACATTGATTAGGGACTGGAAATGAAGTTCACACATCTACCTTACAAGGGAGAAGGAAAACGGGAAAAAGAAGATATGAAGAAGACAAGAAAGTGAAGAAAAAGATAAAGCTTTCTCATACGGTGATATCACCCAATTTTAATGATATTCAACTTTATTTTGAAAAAAGGGTAAAATTGCTTCCTTGGTCCATCCAATTCTAACTGCAGATTAAAAACACCCCTTTTTATTCACTAATGGGCTAAATATGAGCTCAATTTCACTTATTTTTGGCTCAAAGCTTCCTACAAGCTAGAGATTTAATCCAAGGTCTATCTTAGATTAGCCCAAAACTCTTAACTCAGGATCCGAGACGTTACAACTCTCCCTTCATAGAAAGAAATTTCATCCTCGAAATTTACCTGAGTATAAAATCTGGGGGTATTGATGCTGCATGTCCTTATTGGTTTCCCATGTTGCTTCCTCAATGTCATGGTTCCTTTATAGCACTTTCACCAAAGGAATCCTCTTGTTCTTTAACTCTTTAAGTTCACTCGCCAAGATTCTGACTGGTTCTTCTGAATAGGTCATATCCAAGCTAATCTCAATATGCTCTAAAGGTATGATGTGTGAAGGGTCGGAGCGGTATCTCATGTGCATGAAAACATGGAACATATTATGAATGCGCTCCAACTCTGGTGGTATGGCTAGTCTTTAGGCCACTAGTCTGACTCTATCGAGTACCTTATAAGGTCCTATAAAGAGATGGGTCAACTTGCGCATGTGCCCGAAGCACGGACACTTTCTTCTATGGAGAAACATTGAGGAATACTTTGTCCCCTACTGTGAACTCAACGTCCTTATGCTTTAGATCTACGTAAGACCTCTCTCTGTCTGAAGCCTCTTTAAGCCAGTTCTGAATCAACCGAACCTTATCTTATGTCTCTCAGATCAAGTCTGGGCCTACTATTTTACCCTCATTGAGCTCTGTCCAACAAAGTGGAGTCTTACACTTCCACCTATACAAGGCCTCATACAGAGCCATCTGAATGCTCTACTTAAAAATGTTATTATAAGTAAACTCCACTAATGGTAAATAGTGCTCCCAAATACCCTCTAGATTGATGATAGAACACCTGAGCATGTCCTTAAGAATCTAGATAACTC